CTGACTCCAGTCCAATGTCCACACTGGGCGATCTCTTCACCATTCATGAGAAAGTTTGAAATGCCAAAGTAAATGGCACAGCATTCAGACATGCTCTTGGAAAGAGCTGAGTGGGTTGCAGTGGACACGAACTATGGAAAAAAGGAATATTGAGAATTTCCATAGATGGGGGAAAAATCAGGGAGATCTAAATACGCTTTGGAAGCACTTCTAGCAAAACATGGGAATTTTTTTTTTTAATTTAAGGCCTACTGATCAAACACCAGACACTGTTTTGGTCAATATGGAAAAAAGCAGTAGACCCTGAAAAAAAAAAAAAACAGGTATAAGAACTCACTGACAAATGAGAAAACTAAAGTACAGGCATTTAAAGTATTTTACCCAAAATACAATGGACAGCTTGAGGAATGGAGACATATATGCTCCTGACTCAGGTTCCTGCCCAGCACCACTTGGTTTCCTGCTGAGAGCCTGCAGCCAGTCGGTTCTGTTGGTTTGAGTCAGTGCAGGGCCTTAGTCATAAGCTGCTGGCTCGTTCCACTGCCTGAGTATCCCCTGGGTCGCCTGAGCACTGCTTGGGAGCCAACGCCCCCGCCCCACTCCCAAAGAAAAACATACACAAAATGGTAGACATGAGATTGATGACAGTCTGGTTCTACTCTTTGAACACAGAGCCAGTTTTTTTTTTTGGGGGGGGGGGTGGCGGGCTCTGGTGGAGTGATAGCACAGCAGTAGGGCGTTTGCTTTGCATGCTCAGGCGAGCGCCCAACCTGCTGACAGGTGTTGGATTCCTCCGCTCCTCTCAAAGAGCCCGGCAAGCTACCGAGAGTATCTCACCCTCACGGCAAAGCCTGGCAAGCTACCTGTGACGTATTAAATATGCCAAACACAGTAACAAGTCTTACAGAGACGTTACTGGGCCTGCTCGAGCAAATCGATGAACAATGGGAGGACAGTGCTTAGACAGTGCTTTTGGGGTCACACCGGGCAATGCACAGAGGTTACCCTTGGCTCTGCTCTCAGGAATTACTCCTGGCTGTGCTCATGGGACCATGGTGGGAATCCAACCTGGGTCGGCCGCATGCAAGGCAAACGCCCTACCCTCTGTGCTATCGCTCCAGCCCAGCACCAGTATTTTTAAAAGGTCATGAAAGTAAAGAGAGAGTGCAGGAAGTTTTGATGCATCAACAGCAGTATGGGGGCTATGAGTGGCTGATAACTTGCTGCAGGAAGAGATTGTTGGGAAGAGACAGTTCATTGCTTTTAGGCATCGTGCTGAGACAATGACTGGTCAATCGATTTCTGGCACTGACATCCAAGTGCAGTAGCAAAATTCCCATCTTGTATAGGAACCAAGGATGCCGAATCAGACAGGAGGCAGCAGAGACACAGATTAGAGGAAACGCTCCCCCTGCCAAAAAAAAAGTATCGTGTGATAGAAATACATCGTAACCCACCAGCACAAACCAGAAGAGAAGACAGAAAGTTAAAACTGTTCTTTTGAATTTGAAAAGGGGGACAGTTCATCCCAAATGATGCTCAAATGACCCAGTGCCATATGATTCTAGGCCAAGTAGGTAAGAAGTTCAGTGAGTTTGCAAGGTGGACCACTGTAGGTACCCGACGGGGTGCTTAAGGCCCATGTCGTGCTGGGAATTGGTGTGCACCATAGTCCGAATACTCTCCCCAACCCAAGAGTGAGGAGCGTCTTCCAACACGCTCAAAACTACTCTAAGCACCAGACTTTATAGAGGTGTCTTATTAACTATTTTTCAGGTCTTTAAGATCATATAGATTCAACTAGCACTGTAGCACTGTTACACTGCCCTCCCATTATTCATCGATTTGCTCGAGCAGGCCCAGTAATGTCTCTATTGTGAGACTTGCTGTTACTGTGTTTGGCATAAATGTCATGGATAGCTTGCCAGGCTTTGCCCTGCAGGTGAGATACTCTTGGTAGCTTGCCAGGCTCTCCGAGAGGAGCGGAGGAATCAAACTCGGGTCGCCCAGGTCGGCCACATGCAAGGCAAAAGTCCTACCTGCATCACTCCAGAATATCTAGAAATTACTACTGTTATTAATTACACGACAAGATAAGATGGTTTAATACTTTTGGTATATTATTATTCTTCAACAAAGTTTTAGTGAAGACAAAATTAACTGATATGACTATACCACAAGCTATTAGATGACAAGGGAGATTATCAGTTTACCTGCAGGAATTTCAACCTGTTGGAATGAAGGTATATGTACTTATGATATCCACTGGCTTTTTATCACATTTGTGTTTATGTGTGTAAAAAGCAAAAGCTCAGAATGAATTTATATAGTACTGAAATTAAACCTTTCTTCCAAAAGTCAATAATACTTTGTGAAGCATCTGATAACTGTACTGTTCTTCGTTATGCTTTCACTTCTGTGGGAGTCATTACAAGGAAGGAAAACAATCCTAATGGCCTACCTACCAGTCACAAATTCTCTTACCCAGAGCTTTGAGGGCCATTTTTTTTTTGAGATCTATGTGTAAGTTGACACTCCTTACCCATGTTCAGTTTTATCTTGACCTTTAAGTATAAATTGAAATGCACATAAAATGTACTTTATCCAGTTAGCACCATATTAGTAAACAAAATATTTTAGAAATATTCTAGATGAAGTTCCTTTATGCTGCCACTATCTCACTGAATGGTGGGGAAACCTTTTTTAAGTTATGTGAATAATAATATAAAAATCTCTACAGGTGTTAGTACTTCCAGATTAAAAGAGTGAGTCTTGAATTCAGGACCAAAGTTCCTCTAACCACATGCCTTCTAACTCTGGAGACTTGGGTTTGTTTTTAAAATGCAGAAACCTTACATTTTTGATTTTATGAAAAGTAATAAAATTATCTATTTTCTCTTTCACATAGTGTATGCACTTCATAGAGAGGTGGCTCTTTTAATTATCTACATTTAAAACACCAAGATAAGTTTTATATATTTCTACCCTAAAGTTTCTGGGTATTTGATCATTGTATAATTGAAACCCAAGCACAAAAATTTGTAAGTCTACAACTGTACCTCATGGTGTCTCACTAATAAATTTTTTTAAAAAATCATCTTCAGTATCATAAGTGTAAGGGTTAAGATTTGAATCTTGTACATTGCCCTATGCCTCTGACTTTCATATATTAATTTAAACACCCCCATAATCCATGTAACTTTTATGGTTATAGCTGTTTGATCTTATAGATAAGTGACTTGGGGACAGTATAAAATACATCCTTGCATCTTGCGTGTAAATGTATATTAATTGTCATATGCTATTTTATTCCTAGTCTATTAGTCATTCATATTAATTCAAGAGTAACACAAATTGATAATTTTGATTAGTGATCAAATATATTATACATGCTATTTCATTTCATCTTCCATCAATGATCAGTCTCTAGCTACTTAAGCCTCTCAAAGAAAGTATTTTCTTTTATTCAACATATCGGGCTTATTCCAACACCACTTTTTATGTGCAGTATTTAAAGTTGATAGTTTGCCACTAATAAGAAAGAAGATATACTTAGTTCATTGTATTTCATAACCTTCACCACAAAAAAACTCCAGGATTTCAAGATCAGAACATACTCTGTACTTTCAATCAACATCATCAGCAGGCAGTAATCCTGAGGAAAAAAAGTAAATTCCACAAATAAACAGACCAATTTTCCTTTAAGAGGAAAGCTAATTCTTTTCAATCTACTTTTTTTATTACACTATTTTCCCCTCTATCTACTTAGCTAAAATAAGGATAAATTTCCAAAGCTACCCAGTTGGAAAATAAATAGGTTCACTGTTTGTCTAGCATTCCAATCTTTGCAAATGTAAATCAGTCCAACTGCTTCTCATTTAAACCTTCAACTTCACAAAACATTAAAGGGTGGCTTTCACTCCACAATTTAATCTATCCACTAAGATTTCTGCTGGAACATCATTGGAAATTGACTATCTGATAAAGAGAGACCACTATCAAAGGTCGGGGAGGTCAACTTGTATAATTACAAGTAGTTTTCCTGGGTCAAGTCAACCAGTCCCTGCCATTTGAAGGTTAAATGGTTACAATTAAAAATATATACAGATCTCCCCAGAGTTACTTTATTGTTAAATGTACCGGAAACAGCACAAGCATTTATTTCTGACCTTAATTGTGTCCAAAGTATCACCACTGGGAAATTGTACAAAAGAGAACTTATTAAAAACATTACAATCTTGCACATTAAACAGCGCTTTGTAGAGTAAAATACATAATGCTCTACTGGAAATACTTTATGTATCACATAAATACTAAGAACTGCATTCAGGTTGCTCTTTTTGGTTTAATTGGAAGTGTGCGAAGAAATGGCATTTACTATTTCATAGTTGTTGAACTTGTCACAACCAGAGGAATATAGCCAGGCATCAGAGCTTAATGCTAAAACAACTTTCACTTGAGCACAATCACTTCCAAATTACTAGAATTAAATCACATGTTAATACTAGAGAGTAAGAGAAAACATTAAACAGGAAGCTTTGAGATGAGCTATTTTCTAATTGTTTGATTCATTTTAATACCTTTTCTATTAAGTGGATAAATGGCCATTGCTGATACCTTCCATCACTGCTGCTGTGAAATATTATCATTCCTTCATTCCAATGGGTGTAAATATAAATCAATTCTTTTTTTATTTTAGGGTGGTTTTTTAGAAAAATCACCTTTGCTGCCCATGCTATTTTCCTTGAAGTTCCTATTATTTGTATGTGTAAAAGTAGGATTTCAAGTTTGCATTGCAGTGTTTCATTAAATGCACTAAATTGTTTAACTTTGACCATCAAGGCTGCTTTCTTAACCAAACTTTCAATTCAGATAATTATCATGTGAAATTATTATTATCAGTTAATAATGATTATTATTATTGAAATAAGTCAATCTTGGAATATACAGGTCTGGGTGAAATGGTTTTAACACATTTTATTTTTTTCTCATATTTTCAGATTTTGTGTGGGTGACAAATTTTTCCTAAAGAATAATATGATCCTTTGCCAGACGGACTACGAGGAAGGTTTAATGAAAGAAGGTTATGCACCCCAGGTTCGCTGATCGATCAACAGCACCCCATTAAGAATACAAAGCACTCCATTCTTTTATCTTTTTTGCTCCACATGTATATAAGAATTGACACAGGAACCTACTGAATAGCGTAGATATAGGAAAGCAGGATGGTTATATGGAATAAAAGGCGGACTGCATCTGTATGTAGTAAAATTGCCCCAGTTCAGAGTTGAATGTTTATTATTAAAGAAAAAAAAAGTAATGTACATATTGCTGAATTTTTTTGCTTGCTATTCCTTTTTTGTGTCACTTGGCATGAGATGTTTATTTTGGACTATTGTATATAATGTATTGTAATATTTGAAGCACAAATGTAATACAGTTTTATTGTGTTACCATTTGTGTTCTGTTTGCTTCTTTGTATTGTTGCATTTAGTACAATCAGTGTTTAAACTTACTGTATCTTTATGCTTTCTCTATCTACCAGCTATTTTAAATGAGCTGTAACTTTCTAGTAAAGAATTGAAGAGCAAATCTCACTAGCGATACACATATAGATAAAGCAAGTCTGTCAACATTGAAAATACTAAAAAATAAAGACACACACAGAGCAATTTAGCAACACCCACTATTATCGCACTATGATTTAGAGTCTCGGTGTTCTCATTATAACCTCCTATTTTCAGGGGGTTAAAGATCAGCTTTAAAAAAATGCATAAAATTTTCATCTTAAAGCACTTTCATTTTATACCAACATGAAAAGTGCCATTTTTAGAATAACTTGAAGGCTTAACATTATCCTTTTAATATCTTTTTGTGTGTGTGCTCTTTACCTATACAATAGCGTTTTTCTTTATTTTTTTTCGCCATTCACCTCTTATGTGTACTAGTGCCTTTGGTTATCATGTAAAAATTTTCCAAAGGGTTACTTTTAAGAAGTATTATAATAATTATCAGATGATTTTAAAGTGATACATTTCATATTACAAAATTTGCCCAAGACTCTCCATAAACACTAAAGGTTTAATAAATTTATGGCTTGATAAATTGATGGCACTAAAATAAACGAGTGTGAATCTATTGAAATCTTGATTATCTTCACTGATGCTATAGTGAGGTTACGTTTGATTAGAGCTACTTAATGCTCATAGAATCTTCTAGAAGAAGAGAAACAAAAGGATTGATAGGAAGCTGAGAATTTGTGATTATATATTTTTCTGTATTTACCTGCTACTTCTTTTAACATTCAAAAGTAAACAGTTTGATGTATCTTACTTTCTCCCCACTTTAAATAATTACACACTTATAAATGCATCACACTTTGAGAGACACTTATCAATCCATTTTTAAGGTGAAATATCTACACGATAACTACCCAGTAAGCTTACTAGAAACAAAAATTATGGAGAATGATTATTTAAATTGTCATTAAGGAAACTGAGAGGATGAATCCACCTCCCCCCAAACTTTTTTGGGTGGCTCACACTTTGAGTTTTTGCTTTTGCTTATAACAAACTCACTTTTCAAGAAATCTAATTCCACCCAGGAATAATGAAGCATAATTTTACTAGAGCAAATTTAGTGCTGTGTTTTCTTCTTTACCTTTACTCATTTGTATAGGAAACAGTATTTCCCAGTGTTACATACATATTTTGTCCTGCCAATAAATGCATTGCAGATGAAAATTAAATGTGATACCTGAAGTCTTGGTTTGGGGCCAAAGCATTAAGCTGAAAATAATGCTGGTGTGAATTTGAATTGTTTTAAAACAAAGCTTTATTATGAACATGCATGTTAATCTGGATATTGCCTCTCATTTAAAAAAAATACGGTTCTGTGAAAAGATTGAATGATATGTATTTTTGACAAATGCTTCATGGTTAAGAGTGTTCAAACGTCACATGTTCCCCAAATTTGAAATATAATGAAAAGAAATGTCCAAAAGAGCTATGTGGGGCCTACAAATTAACCACGTTTTTAGCTTAGAGCCTTATGTTTATTTCATGAAAAGACTTGCATTACCCCAATGAAATCAAACTGAACAGAACAAAGAAAAGCAGGAGAGGAGAGAGGGAGAAAGTTTTCACCTGTGACCTCGCTGGCTAGTCCCCCTTCAATTTGCTTGAAAGTCTCAAGGTTGTGAAACTGTGATTGTTGGCATATATTTAAATGACCGTTTTTATATTGAAAGGTTTTACAGATGTGTTCTCCATGTCCAAACTGTGACTGTAGATTGGGATCAAATCTTTCAGCCCCTTGACACTGGTCAACTATCCTTGACATCCCAAAGACCAAACGTGGTGGTCTTTCTTTTGCTTAATCCTTGGAGAACAAATTTGTATGCTTTCCACTACATGCAAAATTACTCACCTGGGTTAAAGCTTAAGGCCTTAATCTCCTTAGATTATCTATAAACTCCTTAAAATTGTGAAACAAGGTGGGCCATTTCATAACTAACTGCCCGTAAAGAGTAGTATTTTTGACCTGCAGTACTAAGCCAACTGTCTGGATTACTCAAGAGACCCTGAATTGTTGTCAACTGTCCTCTTTGTGTTGTGCACCTGCTGTCACTTAGCTTGTTATCCGATGCCTCCAGCAGGACACCTCTGATGGAACTCTGGTTTCTCAAACAGTGACAGCTCCTTTCCTTGACGCTTCTCCCGCAGACTATGACGAAAGACCAGGCACCCCGCTCTCCTAGGGGGAGAGCAGAGTTTCAAAGCTGTGTTTGTAATTTCACTTTCATCTTGCTTAATAAATATCTGCTGGATTCTTTCCTCTTTCATATTTGGATGTATGTTTTTAATAAAAGGGGTATTACACTATTTGATTGTGCTTAATTGCCAAAAGTTAAGGTGATATCTAGAAAACACACTTTCAAGCCCATGAGACAGGAAAATAGTCCCTTTCCTTTCCAAAGAGAAATCATAACCGGCCCGGGTAAAACTTCTCAAATGTTGCCTCGAAATGTTATCTCTGAGCTAGGTAGTTTACCGCTATTTACTTCTGCTGGAGAGAGAAAACTGTCAAAAATGAAGTTAGCAATTGCCGGGTGTAATTTTGTACAGCTATACAAATTTTAAATGATCTTTCTAAAAGCAGTGATGGTGCTGTTTGTCAGACGAAATCACAAATTTCCCATGAAGAGATGGGCTTTCTCTGAAGCAGAGGGCTGAAAATTCCATCTGTAGTAAAACAAACCGACGCGAGCTGCTTCCTGTTAGCTATCACTTGAAGCAAAACATGCTGCAGAGTTGCTTAAACAATTTCACAGGAATGTTATAGGCCAAACATGTTTAGTGTTCACTTCAGTAAGTTGCAAAAACAATCAGCATGTTTTGTGTAATAGGCCATTAAGACAGAATACAATTTTAGTGAAAGCCTGTTGATTATTTTTCTTAAAAACACTATTACAGATATTTCTTAACTGTAATTTTAAGGCAACTTAAGGTAACAGAAAGCAGCTTTAATACAACTATTACTTCCACAAACATTTATTGAGTATGTGCTACGAGCCAGGCCTTCTCTGAAGCACCCGACTTGGGGTGGAGAAGGATTAGGATGCTTTAGTTCTTGGGCAGCTTGACTGTGTGTTTGCACTGGTTTGTACTCATTCAGACCTGATAATGAACACAAAGCAAATTCCATCTTCTACCTATTCAACATGTCACTGGTATGAAAGCTCCACAAAATATCTCAAGTAATCAATGTGTTCAGAGAATTATCACACACAAATTACTCATTAACTCAATAGCACATAATAAAGAACATCAATTAATTAATGAGTCACCCTCTGATCACCATGATTACAATAGCGCTTTGTTGAAACAGTGGTTATAAATGGGGCTGCCTCTCTTTATTCATTGTTTGCAATTGGCCCATTATTTGGCTGAAACCAGTGTCATATTTAATACTTGCCTGTAGGTAATTGCATGATTAGTATCATAAAACATAGAATTCAGGGAGTCTACCACTTTTAAGACCTTCGAAGTGGTCAGAAGAAAAGAAAACTCATTACGTTACAGCTTCTTTTGAAACTAAGCCATTTAGAAAAGTAAAGTATTTCCATAATACATGCTTTTGGATTTAAAATTAACATGTAAGACTTTCATGTGAACATTATAAGGATACCTTGCTAAAACACACAAAAAGTAAATTTTACAAAGCTTTAGGACAGTGTTTCCCAGCATAAATGATAATGTGACTTCTGGGGGGGAGGCACTGGAATGACTTGAGTAGCCTTGGATACAGTTGTGGGTGTTGGGCTGGGGGTTACTTTCTGTTTGTTCTATTAACAAAAAATAGACTTCCAGAGATGAGGTTGCCCACGTAGTGACTTTTGCTTCTGGAAAGGGGACAGGTCAGCCTAATAGATTTGGGAACCTTTGTTCTAGAATACATGTAATTTCAGTAGTATCACAAAGTCTCTTACATGTAATTACATGTAATTTCAGTAGCATCACACAGTCTCTGGGTGTGGGGGCCACACCCAGTTGTGCTTAGGGCTACTTAGATTTGTACTCAGGGGTCACTTCTGATCAGACTGGGGGATCATAGGTGGTGCTGGGAATTGATACAAGGTTGGTTATGTGCAAGACAAATAAACACATTACTTGTGTTATCTCTCTCTCCCTAATATGCAAACTTTATAAAAAAAAACATTTCAGCACTTTAAAGGACATTTTTGTGTTGCATACATGGAATAGGATGTAGACCTGCAATAGGGGAAGAGATTGAAATAAATACCAAATAATGCATACAAAGTCACAAAGTAAAGTTTCGCAACTATCTTGATAAATGCCATTCCAGTAAGCTTATAGAAAATTATAACAGTTCCCTTAGGTAAGTAAGCAACAGCTGTTGATAACACATAGCAGGTGTTAACAATTACACATACTGAAAAATTTTTTAATGTTTTTAATTAAAAGAATTCTGTTTTCTGAAAAGGAAAATATGTTCAATTCAAAGCTATTTCTGTTTTGAGTGTGCAGATCATGTTGTAATGCACAAAACTGTAAAGCCCAAATCTTCTTGGATCAAGGTTTTCTGTTTGATTCAGATCACTGCAATCAAAAGTGAATAGGAATTCACTGCACTTTTAACACAATGGGTATTCTGGGCTGAGAAGCTACGTGCTCATGAAATGGGCAGAGAAGAGCTGATTACAGAATATTTGGGCTTTATTGGCAATGTGTGTACCATTAACTTCACCAAATTTAATGAACACAGTAAAAAAGAAAAATGGGAGCAAGAGATTCTCAGATAATAGACAATGCAATTTTTAACCCTGCATCTAAAGGAGGCTTTAAACCATCTAAACGAAAGCAGTTTATTTGTGACTATAATATTATCATGAGACCCATTTGAATAGGATTTAATAATATTTACTGAACATTTAAGACTATCTATGAAGTACTTTTCTCAATGCATATAATTCCTATAGCAGCCTTGTAATATTGGTACTTTATCCGTACTTTATCCCACATGGCAGAGTCTGGCAAACTCCCTGTGGCGTACCCAATGTGCCCAATACCAGTAACAATGATGGGTCTCATTCTCCTAAAGAGCCTTGAATATAATCTCAGGGCTAGGATGAAGGAGACGTTACTGGGGCCTGCTCGAGGCAATCAGCGATTAACAGGATGATTTGTGATTTGTGATTTGTGATCCGTATTTTACAGCTTAAACAAAGTATAGAGAAGTTACTATCTTAAACCTAAGATCACACACCCCTTAAATAAGTAGACTTGGGAAAAAATAGCCATAATTTATGCAACTCCCTGAACCCCAGCCATTGCATTATTGCGTTTGCGAGAGTAGATGTTCTCTTTACACTTTAACCCCAAGTATGGCATAATGGAAATTCTCTGTCCTCCAGATACTTCATTTTGGGGTCATTGTTGTTCAAACCCAAGAGATAATTAATAATGCCACCAGTATGGATTTAGGGCATATTCTGGCTGTGTGGCAAGAGAATCTCACCA